CAGCAGCAAGCCCAGAGCTGCAGCAGGCAATGAGTAGCTCCCAGCCAGCCTATGACCCAGGCAGGAGGACCCACCACACCAGCCCAGGACCTTCCATATGGGATACTCCTCACTTCCCGCCATGGCAGAGTTGTCAGGCTTGGTTTCCATCCAAGCTGGGCCCCTCCTGGCCTCATTCAGCCCCTGAGCCCTACCTCCCTCTGGCCCAAGGTACTGAACAGGTGCCTCCTGATGTCCTTAGGCTTTGGCTGAAGATCCAGAGTCCCAGCACAGCTTATTCCCTTTTTAGGGGCCTTAACAGTCCCTCCCTTAGGTCCCACTCCAATTTCTACCTGTCAAATCCTACTCAACAAATGGCTGTTTGCACCTGGGACCTGGGCCAACTGTCTATTTTTCTAGAGCTCACAGGAAGCCCATCAGCAAAGACACCAGGTGAAGCCATGGGGCAAAGGGGTGGGAGTGCTGAGCAGGGTCCCTGGCCACTCAATACCTTCCCGATTTGGCCAATTATTTTTTAAAAGGGCACAATACGCCAACTGAGCCCATGGTGGGGGAAACAAAAGCAAGCAACGACAGGCTGGGGTAGAGGCTGCTCCTGCAGGAGTCCTAGAAGGGCCTGCTCTTGCTCTCACAAGAGAGTGGACTTTGTGGCTGAACATATGCCCCTCACAAGGTGGCAGCTGGGCAACAATGATGGGCCCGACCCAGGTGAGCATGTGGTTGACCTCTAGCTAAACTGCTTCCTGAGTCTGGACTTCTCATTCAGGAAGCAGGACAGGGGCCGCCCACTGTGCCCACCCAGATTGCCCTAGGAAGGCAGCATGCATGAAGCAATACTCAGTGCCTAGCCCTGGGGATAGGGGGGCAAGTCTTGACCCTCAGAAGCCTGCAGGAAGCATACGGAGGCAGCAGGGGCAAAAGCACTAGCATTTAGAAAGGCTCCCATTGGCCAATACCTTTGACCAACAGCTTGGCCGTGGAGACTAGGGGCCCAGCGCGGAAGGTGATGGTGCCCGAGTCGGCCACCCCCAGGCCCGAAAGTGTGAGGGAGTGAAAGGTCCCGTCATGCATGGTGATGGTGCTCTGGGGGCTGTTCTGTAGCCGGGTCCCATCCAGCCACCAGTGGGCCTCTGGCCCACCCGCACGAGACACCTCACAGGAGAACGTGGCCACCTCCCCCGCGAAGACATCCACATTCTGCAAGCCACGTACCAGGCACAGGGCTGCCTCTGCACGAGAGGGTGAGAAGGAGGCCAGGATGGGGCACCCAGGATCCACCATATGGGACCACCACAGGGCTGTGGGACAGGGCCTCTGTGGGGTTCACTGCTGCAAGGATGTATTATCAAAACCAGATTTGGTCTTTACTGCTATTCCTGGCACACAACTACTAAAACACTCAGAACTTTTTGAGTGATAGGGAAATTTATTATTTATAATGTGCCCTTTTCTTCACACCTGAGTCTATGCTGCTGTGACTCAGGCCTGCTCTTGCTCTCATAAGAGAGTGAACTTTGTGGCTGAACTCTCTAGGGGTCCCTAGATAGTTGAGGATGGGGGGCTGGTCACCAGAAAGACTAACTATGGGGCCAGCAGGTGGCATGGTGGTTAAAGCTCTAAAATTCCACATGGCCAACTGAAGTTCAAGTCCCAGACCTGGTGGCTTGCTTTCTCACGTTCTCTCTCTCTGTCTTTGTCTCTGTCTGATGAGCTCACATGCTCTACAGAAAATTTTAAAATAATAATAATAAATAAAATAATTCTAAAAAGAAAAAAAAGACTAGGTGTTTAGCGAGTTGAAACTTTCCATCCCACCATAAACCTCTGAAAGGGTGAAAAGGAGCCAGAGGTGTGTTATTCCCTAAAACTGGCATCAGAAGTAAGATTCGCTAGAATAGCCCAGGGATTCCCTGGTACAGGGGCCACCATGAGGTCTACTGATGAAGGTATAACCTGCACCAAGAAGGTGGCCCGAGGTTGGGAGTCCATGCAGGCCAGTTGGCCCACACTGATCATAGGGGAAGGAGACATGTAGGACACCCACAGTGAGCCTATTGAGAGGCTTAGTTAGTGAAACCCCAGCCCATATCTCTTCACTCTCACATAACTCTTCAGGACATACCCACAGGAGGCCAATGATAACCTTCTGTACCCTTTTCAGAAAGCAGAATGAACAAGTCCAAGTCTCATGGGGAGCTGCATGTCTTATTTGACCAATGTGGGGCAGGAAGGAAAGGTCATGGGACCTACCACTCGAAGAGAGTGGAAGTGGTCTCAAGAAGGGAACCCTCTGTACCTAGGTGTGCTTCTCCTGCTCCAAGAACAAAGTTTGTCCAGATGTCTTCTGAGGTCCCTTCAGCCCTAGTATTCTAGAGCCCTAATGCCAGGTGGCAACTGCTCCCTGCCCTGTCACAGAGTGGGCTCACGTTCAGACTTCTCATGTGTGTATTTACAGCAGCTCCCTGCCCTGTGCATCGCCACACCATTCCTCATGTGCATCATCGACCTTCCAACCTTACCCCCATAATTGGCCCCATGACCATCTACCCTCTATCCCCTCACCTTAGAGATTCAGAGCAGGCACAGGGAGCTGAGAGCATTCTTGGGTCACCCCTACTCACACAGCTGAACTCTACATTCCACACCCTACAGGAACAGAACAGCACCAAATGCTTCTTCCACTACCTGATGCCTGGGACCAGGCAAGGGGGATGCCATGTTTAGCCTGTGCTTCCTCTGAGAACTTTCCCCAGGCCATACTGAGGGCCTCCTTGCAAAGAGAGAAAAACTGTCCACAGTTGGCAAAGCCCAGACAACTCTACAACCAAGCATCTCTGACCCATGGGGTAGAGGGTAAGAGAGGGCAGCCAAGCACTTACAGAGATACCAGCTACTATCAGGACATCAAGCAGGCCAGCCCTTGTGCCTGCCCTAGCAGGACCTCCATCAAAAGCCTCGCCACACCATTCCTCATATGCATCATCGACCTTCCAACCTTACCCCCCAATTGGCCCCATGACCATCTACCCCAAGTGCACATCTGACTGACCTCCATCCTGCTCTGTCAGCTCCTCATTCTCAGGTCCCACCCTGGGCCCCAAGCTCATCATCACACCACATGTTCTGGGTGTCCATTCATACATCCCTGCCCACGGCCTTGTCTCAAGCCCATGTCAGGCATCTGTAAGTGAGCTAGATTACCCAGGCTGGAGACCTAGAGAGAGGTCAAAGCACAACTGCAGCTCCATACTTACACACAGTCGCCCATCCTCATGAACACATCAGACCTTCCAGCCCTGATCCACTCAGAAAACCCATGAAATGCCCTCTCTCTTCATTCAACTTGAGGGAACTGGCATTCAGGAGCATTTTCCAGCCCCACAAGCCACACAACTGGTCACATCTGTTCACTCCTAAGTCTCAAGGGAGGGGGACCTGGGATTCAGGACACACTGTCTCCATGTCCAACTCCTCTCGCATACAGGAGGTTCCATGAGGGAAGAGAGGTATGTAGGTGCATGTTCCAGCTTGAGGGTTGGACCTTTACCAAGAGCAGAGGCTTAGAAGATTTGTTCGGTAGTGAAGAATGGTGGATGGTGAATGGGTGGTGGGTGGATGGATGAATGGATGATGGATGGATTGATGTGACAGGAGTAGGACAGAAGAGGAACACTCGATGCCAAACACTCAGATGTGAGTGTTTCAGGGTAAGATATAGCCAAAATTGAAAGTTCCTAAAATCCTGTTTGCATGCCTATGGCCCTGTATACTGTACCCACTACATGGGTTTCAGGACATGTTGCTGTATTCATACCTTTGAGTTTATGCAGATGTGTTAATGTGAATGTGTGTACATGTGCATGTACCTGTATCATTGGGGTAGGCATTTGGAGGGTGGAAGTCAGGATGGCTCTGCTTCTTCCTCAAAGCCTAAGCCATGATAGCCGGGATCCCCATCTCCCTCCAACAGACAGCACTAATCTTGGGCAGGGACCTCACACACATCCCAGACTTTTTCAAGGCAGCTTTTATCAGCCCACCCATAGCAGCCTCTCCAGTCCATGGGCTTAAGGGCCAGAAATTAGAAAACTGTCAGCCCCAAGGCAAGATCACTGCTGGAAACCTTGTGTTTCTGGCTCCCTCCAACAGCTGCTGATAGGTAAGAAGCCTTGGTGCCCAGGCATTCATAGGAAGAGAGCTAAGCATGAGAGGGGGCTGCCCACCTGTGACCTTCAGCTGGGCCTCTGAAGTACATGAGCCCACTTGGAAACTGATGGTTCCAGCATCCTCGAGAGTCACCTGAGGAAGCAGGGAGAAAGATGCTTGGCTCTGGTAGCCCATTCTGACTGGAAGGGGCCCACTCATCTTGCCAGCCCTCAGTGACAGAGCCCTACTACCTCCCCAGTCTGACTCCCTTTAGGAATATCTTCCCAAAAGGAGTTAGAACCTTCACCATCCCAGTGGAGCAGGTTCTCAGAGCCCCACCTTGTGCAGAGTGAGCAAGTGGAGCGTGCCCTCTTCCACGACGATGTCATTCATTTCGTTGGCCTGCAAGGGCACCCCTCCCAAAGCCCAGCGAACCTCCTGGCCCGAAGCCCTGGACAGCCGGCACCGGAAGTGGGCATCCTGGCCCTCGCTGAGCTGTATGTCTTGAAGAGGCTCCAGGATGGTCACTTCAGGGGCTGGATACACAGGAGGCATGGGGTCAGCTTTTGCATTTGGGATGCCACCTCAGTCAGCAAAACCTCTACATTTCTGGGTGACTGCATCCACCCCATGCCCTTTGCCTAATTCCTAAAGACAAGTAGATGGAGGCCTGTTCTTAGCTCTCTCCTCCAGCTCCAGGCAGAAGTCGCAGCCTGGCTTCTGACCCAAAGAGATAGTGGAGATGACCAAAGGCTAGAGGTGGGCCACAGTCTGCAGTGGCCCCCTCATGAAGAGACAGGGGCCTAAACTCCCTCCCCAAGTCTGACTCAGCCCCTCAGCCCAGGACCATTCTATTCTGATACCTGAGCCCATTCTGAAATTGATAACTTACAGATCCACCTCTGTGCCTATTCCCCAGATACCAAAGGTAGGGACCCTCTGTCCTCCAACAGGGCCTGGGGCTGAACTTTCTCCCCACCTTCTCCCACACAGCCGTCACAGAGGCCTGCCCAGGGCCAACTACCTCGGACAGTGAGCTGGGCAGAAGACGAGTGGCTGCCCACATGGAAGGAGACAGTGCCGGCGTCCTCAGGTGTCACACCCTTCAGCAAGAGCGTGTGGATGCAGCCATCCTGCACAGCCACCTCTGTCACCTCATTGCTCTGCAACGGCAAGCCCTGGAGGCGCCACTGCACATCCTTGGCTCCAGCTTGTGACACCTCGCAGCTGAATTTCACATCCTCTTCTGCCTGGACCTCAGAATCGACCAGTCCTCGTACAATGGTCACCTCAGGCTCTAGGGGATGGGGCAAGGGGGACCCTTTACTAGCCAGGTTGAAAAGCCCAAGCCAAGCTCCCATGACCCCTCCTCCAAGAAGCCTTCCTGGCCATCTTTACAGTCTTCTGCTACTCCACATGGCATTTGTCACCAGGTATGCTCACAAGCAAGGCCTTCACCATGACACTGAGCTCCATGAGGACATAAACTAGGTTGGAGCATCTGTCCCCCGAGGCCAAGAGAGTAGTTACGTTTGGAGCAATGTGCAAGGGGTTGCAGAACAGTCGATTGCCCTGTCCCTCTCCAACAATCAGTCACGCCCTACCCAGGACACTAGGGAGGAAAAACTTACAGTAGAAACAGTTGCCCCACCTGCCAACTTGGGGATAAGAAGGGACTATAGACTGAAGCTCTACTCTCAGAGGATGCATGGGGAGGGGAACAGAGATGCAAGAGTGAAGAGGAAAAGAGCTTATAAAGGGACGGGTCTCAGCCACCTCTGTTAACTGTCCCTGACATAGCCAGGTGTGGCCCCAGGGGAACCATAAGGGAGACAGTGTGTAGGATGGGCGGTGAGGGGGAAGGAGCTGGCTCCCCCTGGGAGATCCTGCTGACTCACCTTTGACCCTGAGGGAGGCCAGGGTTTTCTGACCACCCACCATGCAGGCGTACTCGCCAGTGTCCTTGGCCTCCAGCCCGTGGATAAGCAGCTCACAGGTGGCCCCCTGATGCCGCATCTCATACTTGGGGCCCATTGGCAGCTCCACACCCTCCTTGAGCCACTGCACGGGGACCTTGGACTCAGCCTCGGTCAGTTGACAGCAGAGCCGGGCCACAGTGCCCACCTCCTGCTCCACACTCTGCAGCCTGGTCTTGAACTTGGGCCTGGGGGCTGGGGGGCAGGAAGGGACACTTACAGTCGTAGGCTCCTGGCCTCTAGGTCTCCAGTTTGCCACTGAACAAACCCTCAGCCCTGGGATAAGGGAGGCCTGAGGAAGACAGGGGCCAGCTCACCACGGATGGAGAGGCTGGCTGTGCTCTGCGCATGGCCTGTGTCACAGGTGTAGTCGCCTGCATCCTCCTGCTCGGCGCCACACACCAGCAGCTCAGCAGCTGTGCCCTCCTGCACCATCTGGTACTTGGCACAAGGGAAGAGCTGGAGGGAGCCCTTGCGCCACTCTACACCCACACCCGCCTGGCTCAGCTCGCAGCGCAGGTGTGCTGTGGCTCCCTCATCCACCTCCTGGGCCTGCAGCTCCTGGAGGAACCGCACAGGCGCAGCTGCCAGGAAGAGGAAAGAGCGTGAGGGCAGGTCCAGGAACAGCTATGGGGGTAAAGGGATGTTACAGATGGCTCTGGGAGGAAAGGAACACAAGGACATGCTACTGGAAAGACGGTGAACTGCATTGGTGCGGCTATTGAAGTGTAGTGGGGTGCTGCAGGAGAATAGGTCCCAGAGCCACTACTGGGTGAAGGGATGTACAGTAGTACTCCAAGGTGCAATGAGGACCCGCACTGGTGCAATGGGTACCCACACCGGTGCAACCACCCAGTGGGAGGTGCAGACAGGAGAGGTCAGAACCTTTCCCAAGAGTGAAACTGCTCCAGGACAGCTAATGGGCTGGACCACAGAACACAGCTAGGAGAGGAATTGAGGATGCAACTAAGTGTGTGTGTGTGTGTGCCCAAGATTCTGAGAGAAGAATGGAGAAGGGATTACGGCGTGGCCATGCCCCCTGGGGGATTTCTTGCTTTCTTTCTGTCTTTCTGGTCAGCGCATGTGCCCTGTAGCAAAAACCTCTCAAAAAAAAGTCTGTGTGTGGCTAAAACCATAGCTTTTGGAATATGGCAGTAAGCTGGTCATCGCAGCCTGAAGGCGCAGCTCTCCTGCTGCTGATGTTGGAAGAGAGGTCTAGTGCTCACGCTGACTCCCCCCGTCTGTCAGAAACCTCACGGTGCTCAGAGTGAGCCCACAGGAGCCATCACAACAGTCGGAGTCTCCCCACCCTCGCTGATGCAGGCCGAGTCCCCGTCACGGCTTGCCAGGGGTCGGTCCTTCTGTGTGTGTCTGGGACAGACGCCCCTGATGGTGCCCTTTGTCCTTCCTCCTCCTTTCCTGATCTTTTCTCCCACTCTTAAAATTCAGCATGCCTCCAGCACCCCTACCGGGACAGACTCCCCTGCCCTGCAGTGCTGGGGTTAGACCCTGGCTCCTGCAGGAGGCTTCCCTCTGCTCACTGGCAGCACCTTGCTCCCACTCCACCTACAACACCCTTGTGTGAGCTCAGCCGGGACACTCACATTGGGGGGGGGCACAGCAGCTACATGAGGAGGTGGAAGGCACTGTGGCAGAACACAGGTACAGGAGCATGTCAGGGAATAGTACAGGAGGGGAGGGAATGCAGGAGCAGCTACCAGGAAGGGAATGTTCTGCATGGGTAAGGAGAAAAACATAAGAGAGGAGTACCACAAGAGGGCAGACCAGAGCAGAAACAGGGTAAGGGGAACCCTAATACAGCCACAGGTGGGAAGTTGGGTGAGAACGCCAGGCACAGCTACAGGGAGGGACAAAGCCTCAAGGCAGGTCTGCCCCACACCCATCCCCCACATCCCTGCCTCGCCTTCCCCGCCGTCTTGCTGAACTGTGTCTGCCCAACTGGGACCCCCAGGTAAGACTGTCGCCCTGAAAGTCAGCCCTAAGCACGGAGACTGTGCCTTGTTACCTGCCACCCCACCAGTGATCCTGACTCAGGGGCCCGTGTCTGGGGTGGGGGGCACACCTGTGACGGTGAGCGTGGCACTAGTGGCCTGGGAGCCGCAGGCACAGGTGTACTCGCCAGCATCTTCCCGCCGGAGGTTCCGAAGCACAAGTTCTGCAGTGCGGCCCCGCTGCCTCAGCTCCCGGCGCTCATCGGTTAGCAGTTCCAGGCCACCCTTGCTCCATATAACAGTGGCATCGGCTGCAGACAGCTGGCACCGCAAGCTGACCATGGAGCCCTCCTCAGCCTGCAGGCTCTGTAGAGGCTCCCGAAACACCACTTGCGGGGCTAGGGATCGGGCAATGGGAGGCAGGGTCAGTTCAAAACTTGAATGGAAGCACCTGACACCCAACAGATCTGATGCAGTGCCTGTGTTCCTCCTCGGGCCCCCAAGGAAATGCCATGACCCTTCATATCCCAAGGCAAGGTCTCATCCCTCAAACTCCAGGGCAGGGTTGTGTCTTCTTGAGACAAAGAGGTAATACAGGTGCTGTTTGCCCAATATGGCCACATTCAAAATCAGGGACAGGTTGCAGGGCTTGGGACTGTAGACTCTTTCC